CCGAATTTGCGAGACAGACTGAATTTTAAATGGTGTGTTCACAACGTAATGGTATAAACGACAAAGGCCGTTGTTTTTTTGTTTGTTTTTTTTTTTTTTGGGGGGGGGGGCTCGGTCAGAGATGGAAAGCTGTACATTTTCGACAGGTAAGGGGGAGGGGCAACTGGATAAGCGTAGATCTTGAGACTCATGATAGGATTATAAGTGAAAATGGCGTGCCTCATCTCACTATGCACTGTGATAGGCCATCAAGGTTAACCACTCTTTGCTCGCCATACGTCGTAAACCCACCAAGCAGTCACGTCAGTTCATTTTAAAGTAGAGGGAGACCATTTTATTGATTGTGAGCCTTAGCATGGGTCACCATAGATTCTTCCCTGGGTTCGTCGGTTAAGATCCCGGTTCGCCTAAGATCCCGCATTTCCTTGCTCCCGAGCACCGGGATCTTAGGCGGAGACTACTGTAATTGAAAATGAAGACAGAACACATGCTTTAAATTGTATTGTATTTATCGTCTCTGATCTGGGCAACTAAGACCACAAAAGACAACTCATTCATTGGGTCAAAGGGGGAGGGGTGGAATAAAAAAGGATGGAGACGCATAGCCGGCGACGTGTGCTGTAGACAAGACACTTGATGATAATATTTACACTGATGTACAGGCGGCTGTGAAGTAGTGGTTAGGCGCCTGGCTGTCGCACGCAGAACACGTGAGTTCGAATCCCGTGTGGGGAGAATTTTTATCAAGTATCTATGTCTCTCTGGCTGTTGGGACATTGCACATGTCTGTCTCTGTCTCAGCTCGAGTAAGGCCTGGCAGGCAGCTATGAAGCAACCAGTTGAATAATATTGTTAAAGGCGTGATACACGGGCAGTTACAATCAAACTCTATCTTTCTTTCTTTCTTTCTTTCTAAAAAAGTTTTTTTTCTTTCTTTCGTTCTTTCGTTCTGTCTGTCTGTCTGTCTGTCTGTCTGTCTGTCTGTCTGTCTGTCTGTCTGTCT